AGCTACAGCAAGAAAACCTCCAGATTTTTACCCAACTACAGAAGCTGAACAAGAAATTAGAAGGAGGGCAGCAGGTGAGAACATTAAAAGAAAATTCAGTTTCTTATGTTGTTTTAAAGAATCACAGAAACAAAACATCAAGGACTGAAATAGACTTACTGCTTTATCTTTTGGTGATGTGATTTTCATAATTAATCCCAGAAGCTTTGGGCTTTGTTCAGGCACCTGGATTGAATCATTCTCATCACCTAACTTTCATTGTTTTTTCTTTTACTTCTTATGAAAAAGCTCAAACATTACAGTTCAGTGAACACCATATATTCACATCTAAGATTCAGCAATTGTCAATATGTGTATTTGTTTCAAATTGTGTATTTATATATATGTGTGTGTGTATATGTGTGTACTTTTTTTTTTGCTAAACCATTTTTAAGTTAAATTAAAAAAGTAATGACTTAGCACCCCCCTAAATACTCTGTTACATATATCCAGAAATAAAGACATTCATGCTTCTGGATAACCACAATGCTATCTCCACACTTAACAAAATTAACATGGATATTCTCAATTCTCATCCAGTATCCAGTTGATACATGGATTTCCTAGTTTCCCACCAAAAAATGTCCTTTATGATTGTTTTTATCAGACCAGAATCCAGTCAAGAACCCCAAATTATGTCTCTTTGTTTCTCTAGAAACAACTCTAGAACAGTTCCCTCCACCACCATCACCTTTTCTTTTTCTTTTTTTAATTTTCATGGCATTGACCTATTGAAGAAATAGGGTCAGCTCTTACTTCCCATATTGTGGATTTGTCCTGTTTTCTTGGGATGTTGCTTAACTTGTTCCTTTGTAACTCTGTCTCATCTGTAAACTGGAAGTTGGACTTAAGGTTTGGCTAGATTCAAGTTAAACATTTTGGTAAAAAATACTTATATAGGTGATGCTGCTTGCATGGTTTTTAAAGAGCCATAGTATTACTCTCTATAACAGAGTGAACTAGAACCATCCTGGCTTTGCTATTTACCAGCTTTATATGTTTGCACAAATTACTTTGTTTCTGTGAGCCCCGATTTCTCACCTAAAAGAAGAAAGTAACACCACCCATCTTGTATTGGTGGGAAAATAAATGAAATCAGGTCAATGAAAGTACTATAACACTTGAGGTAAGCCTCAGGTGACTGGTGGCTGTAGCAAGCAGGAGGATTGTTTTGCCTAGAGTTTTTTCAGTTTTAAACTGAGAATTCTGCATCCCATTAAATTCTGCAGTCCTAGGCAACCAGGACAACCTGTCACCATTCCTGCAGCAAATGTAAAGTTCTGGACTTTATCTAAGGTAGTATTATCCAAGTTTAGTAGTATGAGCTTCTCACACAAGTGTTGCTACAAGTCCTTAGAGGTTGACACTGAAAATCTAGTCGGGAACTGCCGTGACTAGGTGGCAGTGTTAATGTGGAACTGTGTTTTATTTGGACAGGTGGGGATGCATTCCAAAGGAACTCAAACAGCAAAGGAAGAGATGGAAATGGATCCAAAGCCTGACTTAGATTCAGATTCTTGGTGCCTCCTGGGAACAGACTCCTGTCGACCCAGCCTCTAGTCTCCTGAGCCTGTATAGCCTCCAGGAAATGGGGATTCAAAGGACTTCACGGCACACTTACGAATGCAGAGCGCGCTTTCCTGGCTTTGTTCACTTGCAGACAAGGAGTGCGAGGCGGAGGCTCTGAAGCACTTTCCATATACACTTGGAGAGTGGCATTGCCTGTTAGATAGGATCTAGGAGTGGTTTTGTTTTGGGGAATGGAAGGGCCCCATGGCCCTGACTTTGTCCTCAGTGACTGCCATAACAGCAGCAGCTCTGTACCTCATCTGGTGATCCCACCTTTGAAGAGGAGACACAATGCTCACCTTAATTTTGCTGGTAGCAGTTTATGTCCCATTTATCATTTTCACCATTAGTTGGAAGCTGCCTTGGGAATTCACCACCAGGATTGCACCTCTGGGTGGAGGAGGGCAAAGTGTAAAGCTGGAGTGGGCTGGAACCAGGTGTGGCCTATCCAGGGTCATCTAGAGAGTGGTGAAGTGTTCTGAGCCCTTTCAGGAACCCTGAGTCCAGGGAAATATGTCTGGTGGAGTCAATCTAGGGCTGTTTTCAGAAAGTTCAGTTACTTCGTGCAGCTAAGTGCTTTAGGAGGAAAAGTGGGCTTAGATTGCTTTTCCCCTGAGGATTAATTGATATTTCTTCAGTGAGGAGTAGGGAAAGAAGGGCAGGTCCCTCCTCATCCCACAGCTGGAGCTTCAGGCTGTGGCTGACGCAGGGTGGGGTTTCCTAGCTTTGGAGATACCTCTAAGAGATGAGGTGTCTTATGGAGAATTGGGTCAGTGGGCAAGAGAAACAGCCTTAAGAGAAAACCACAAGGGGGAGAGGTCCTTCTTTAGTTGCCTCTACTTAGCATCTTCAAGAGGACCTAGGGGGACTCAAGTCTTATACCCATGAGCAGGCTTCCTGTGCCTCTGCCTTCATGGCTCTTAGCGGTCTAATCTTGACATCAGCAGCCCCATCTGCTCCCTTTCTATACGTCTATCAGTATTTTTCCCCTTTTGGTGTTTTATGAAGCCATATGAGTGAATCGGTATCAATCTTTCCTACTTGAGTGGCCCAAAGCCAGCACCAAACCTGGTAGTCCCTGAAGCCTAACAGAACAGGTAGAACCTGCCAAGTGAAAGGAATTTGGCTGTGAGCTCCCTTCTAAGCCCGTAGTCATTGTGTCCTTATGTCCGTGTAGACAGGAGCAAGCTAGCTTTCCCGACGAGGGGAAACATCCTAGAAGGTTTTACATAAGGATGTGAGCTCTGTGTTTTACCTAGCCTTACAAAATGTTCCTTTAGTGTTTTGGGTCTCCCTTGATACGTCTCACATCCTACCTCCCTAGAAACAGCTAAAATTAATTATTTTTCATTTTCCCCAAACCAAAAAAAAAAAGAATGTTTGGTATCTGCTTAGTATTTTGGAAGGACCTGTGTAATGGAAATTTTGCCATTTCCCTAAAACCGGTAGTGTACAGGGTGAAGCTTGGGGAAAACCTGATGGTTGGGGATGGGCAACTCTGTTCAATGGGATCATCTTTGGTTTGATATTCCCATTGTTTTCTCAATTCTGGGAAGCCTAGTACAGTGGTACTAATGTAATCACCAAAGCCTTTTCTTAAAATAAGGGAAGGGGCCAACCCTGGATTAAAGTTACAAGTTCTGGGGACTTGGGGGTTTGCTATAAACCCTAACAATGGGTTTTAGCTCACCATGTAAATGCAACTTTGATTTTTTTAAAGACTGACTGGCCTTTCACGTTCCTGTATCCCTCATACTCTCTATCTCAGCAGGCCTGAGAGGCAGGGTCAGTTTGGGTGTTAATCATGAGTATTGCTTCTGCTATGAAACCAAGGAATATGGGCATGTTGCTGAGACTGGGATGAAAATGAGCATCGAAGGGAGGGTAAGAGCCTGTTCTTGTTCCAGAGGGAAGTCATTCTCTTGCAGTGGAACACTGTGGTCATTTTCTCTAGCATGTTCCCTTGGGAAGTTTAGGTTTGCTATTAATCTGGCTGGGAATCTTAAGTTCTGTGCCTTAGAGACAATTTGCACTTTCCCAAATTGTGCCTGGGACAGCCATATGATTTTTCCCACCAAACAGCTATGCAAACAGAAACCAGTTCAAAGGTGGAGGCCATGCCTTAGATAAAAAGTGGAATGCCTTCGAATGGTTTTCTGTAGCTAATTCTTTTAAATTTTGTCATACTTTTCTTCTTTATTCAGTGCTAGGTATTTTAAATTTTCCAGTAGTATTGCTTTTGAGTTATAGCATAACCTGAGTTACTCCTCTGCTCTGACATTGTTTGCTAAAGAACTAGCTTATTGTTAGCCAGATTTTGAAAGGTTGAGGGTGGAGTGGTTTGGCATTTCTGTTCCAAATAAACATTTAAAGTCTCAATCAGTGCTGTGCCTCAGTAAGCCTGCACACGGACCTTAGGCATGGGGATGAAACACCCAGATTTTAGGCCTTCATGAATCTTTGAGTCAGTGAGTCTTTATATAAATAGAAGGTCTTGTAACAGAAACAACACAAGGGACATTGCACAGAAATAACCTTTGCCTCTTTCCACTCTTTTTCTTGCTTACAGAATCATTTCTGCTGCTACAACTTTTCTCCTCCAAGACTTAAAAAATACAGTGCTTAAAATGCAGAAGGGCAGGAATTGGGGGGGGAACCATTAAGAGAAAAGATCACAACTTGTACTCCTCAGTCACTGTGGACTTTTTCAAGTGATAATGCCAGTTTATGTTTATTAAAGTTTTCCCTTCAAGAGGTTGAACTGTTGTGGTTTCCCTGGCATAGCACAGCCAAGTTATAACTTCTCGTGACTGAGCATTTCACTAAAGTTAAAGCAAAAGCAGCCTTAAACTCACATTTCATTTGGTTTGCTATGTATTTGGAAACCATTGTAATAGAACAACTCTGGAGCAAGGATGTATTATAAATAAATAATTTTCAAATGAGAATCCCCGGGCCTCCAAAAAAGTGTTACTCATGATAGTGCCAGGACAAAGCAGATTGTAGTCAGGAGTAGAAAACATGTTCCTTCCTGCTGCAAAGCCAAAAATCATTTATTGCTTCAATGATTCACGATGGAAATAAACATACCGATAGCTTAATTTCACAGAATCATGAATATTAGGGAGAAAACACCCTTACCATATCTCTGCTACCTCCTGTGTAGTTGTGAAGAGTGATAAATTGATGACCAAAAACAAATGTTGGCCAAAAGGTACTGTGCTTCACTAAATACGCTGCTGTTAAGAAATATTTTATCAGCAGGTCTGCATACACTTCTAAATGAACTGAGTTTCACCATGAGATTTTTCCTATTGCCTAACCTTTTCAGCTTTAAAATTTATAACATTTACTTGCACTATAGTTTCTTGGATAAAGTAATATAACAAATGGACACTAACAAACAGCATTTATTTATTCATTATCATCCTCTCTTAACCAGGAAGAGACTAGATAGAAAAAAGCATCACTCCAAAATCATAACAAACTAAATTTAAAAGACTAATAGAGATTCCTAGTACAATCAAGGCCTAACTAATGTTGAGATTGAAGGGAACAGTAAGACAATTGACGACTATTTATTTTTCTAGCAACATAAGAATGAATAATTGCTTCCTGTGTCTCTAGAAAGCACTCCCTCCACACACATTTGTTCTTCCTAGAGGGCCCTGATCTGTGACCTTAATAACATCATCCAGGGATCCCAAACCCAAAGGCCTGGGGGGCTAGGCAGATGGGCAAACAAGTGAAGCATGCCAGGTGGAACTGGTGGTCAGTGCTCTGACCCATCTGAAGGAGCAACTGATTCTCAAACCCACTCAGTGTTAAAACTGGTGTTTCCAGAACTTGCAGTGTTTCAAGGGTTCCTACATATCCCAGTATTTAAATGTCAAATATTTTTAATGCTGTGCCAGTCAAAGATACGGAGTACAAAGCAGCCCACAGGCTACCACTGTGACCTTGGCCATACCTCATTCTTGCTATCACTTTTACCATCAAGTGGGAACCTTAAAGTGTGCACCTCACTAAACTTGCCTGGAGGGTGGGGGGTGGGGTATACAAATTGGGTTAACTATCCAGTGTCTGTATGTGAGGTTACTTTAAGTGGCCAGCCAAAACACCATCATGTGATACTTCGTTTTCTTTGTAATATTAAGAAGAGCATAAAGTAATCTAATATAAACTTTTTAATATAATTTTTTTTCAGCCTAGCATTCTGCAGCTTCACATATAAAGCCTTAAACTCACATTTCAAAGTGGTCTGATCTGTTAGCCCAGCCACACAGCAGAAGCTGCAGCGGAAATGGATCAAGAGTGAGTGGCCATTTGTTACTTGGTCAAATATTTCTGTTTTGTTGTCTTCCACAGTCCCCTTTGCCCAGGTCAGGTTGGGTGGTTTTTCTCCAGTATATTAAAACACAATCTGAGTGATGCTCTCAGGACAGCAGTCCCACAATATTTCATATCTGTTGTGCTAGCTTCATCCTGTCTGCACTGATATACCCTGACAATAACCGTAAACCTTCTCTCACTTAACACGTCTAGGACTCACTCATTAATTTTAAGTCCCAAACCCCATTTATTGAGGGCCTAATTATGAAGGTACTTGGAGTAGCCACAAATCTGCACAGAGAAACTAAAAGATAGGGCATCTTTTCCATCAAAATTACTTTCTAAAACAGAAGCTTACTGTGGCATCATCAGCAGGGATGTGACACTGCAGTGTCCCAAGCTTGCTTTGATAGTAGATTTTGCTGCCTCATTTAAAAAGCCATCCAACCAACCTGATCTGAAAGCAGAGTGCTAGGAATAGCTGAAGCTGAAGTTGTTTTGTTCTGTTTTGGCATGTGAAATCCATTAGAAAAGAACAACTGCAGAGAGATGGTGTGTTTCCCCCTGTAAAGTACATAAAGATGAGGTTCCCTTTATTATATAGCACACCACAAGGAGGGTTTAAGATACACTGGTGCCCTAACCTTACATACTTACATTGGTTTTTGGCCAGGACCATGCACAAGGGAGGTGAAGGACAGTTTGCCTTACAGCAAAATCATATTTTCTTTTATAAGAGATACCATCTGGGTGACCTTGATCTTGACACCAACTCACCCTAATGAGCCAACTTCTTTGCAAGAGTAAGAAGGGTTAACAGGAACCACAGGCATACAGGCAGAGGCAGTGGCAGGAAGGCACTTAACTAGCACAGACCACAAGTCAGGCTCGTGAGAAGAGAGCTTTAATGTAGCTTGCTCACTTTAAGTGTCTTCACCCATCACTTCTTAGGGCAATAACAAAAGGCATGCCAACCTGAAGTGGTAATTGATTGGGAAGCTGAGGCTTCCATCTGCCTCCTGCTGCTTAGCAATGGGTCTCTCCTCACTGATTTCATCTCTGTAGGCAGATCTGGAGAATGTAAAAGTTTTACTTCCACTTGCATCAAATTATTTCCATTTAGTGCTGAAGAGAACCAGAGCCTCCCAGACTATCAAGGTTTCTGCTGTTGAATGCTCAATCGTAATACTTCCTTGGAGGTGGAGGACGGTTCTTGATGGTCTTACACTTGGGAATGTGCCATTCAGCCACCTTGGGAGCAAAGTGGCGGCTACAGTGAGGGCACTGAATATAATCTGGATTTTCTGCAGGCAGGATGGGAGGCAAGTCTGAAGGGTGTCCACCTTTGGCAATTACCTGCTGGACCTCTCGACTCTGACGGAGGGAATGGATGAAAGATTCATGCTTCTGTCTCCAGTTGCTCTTCCGAGGAAGTTCAGCCTGTAAGTAGAAAGAAGGCTGATATTCAACTTGTCATTATCTCATCTGCGTCTCCAATAGAATGACCATAAGGAAAAAAATGGGTGTGAATCTACAAGATCAAATAACAGGAAAGGAGCAGTGGTAACTGACTTGCCAGAGTGGAGGCACTTAAACTAAGGGCTTGTAAAGGGAGATAATAATACTGAGAGGCAAGCCATTTTTCCCAGCAGAACCTGTGAGAAGCTCAGTGCTTACAAGCACCAGGTAGTAGAAAGAGAGGAGACACAGGGCTGAAATAGGCTGGACCTCAGGGCTCCTCTCCCACCTCCTACATCTAAGTGTCCTTCACTTCCAGCACTCCCACAGAAGAATGGGTTTATTCTCTGGAGAAACTGAACCATCCAGGTTACAGACTCAGTGGGGAATGGTTCATCTTGGAGCCGAACATTGGGATAAAGTGCCAGTGTACATGACAAATTGTGCAACTGTCAGCCTCCTTCCACTTAGCGTCTAGAGGACCCAGCACGCTGGCATCCTCATAGGAGACAAGACCTCTGGGTGCACCGAGCAGTTGAGAGAAAAGCTATCAGATGCTGACTCTGAGGGATGCCAGTTAAAAGGCTCACTACTTGAAAATCCTAACAGGAAGGCCCTTAGTCAACAAGCCCACTAAAACTGGGCTTAAATATCAATTGTCAGCCAACGATCACCAGATATTTGAATAAAGCTCTAGCAAGAGAGACCAAAACAAGCACATGAACACACTGCTACACACACACAAACACACACACACACACACACACACACACACACACACACACACAGCAGCAGCAGCTAGGCAGGTAGAAGAAAACTTATAACCAGAGAACCATAAAGAACTATTACAAATTAAAGCTGTGATAGCTAAAAAGAAAATAGAAATGTAAAATAATATCAAGAAAATTACTCAGAATAGGGAAAAAGATAAAGTGAAAGTAGGAAAGATTTGAAAATTAGAAGATAAATCCAGGAAATCCAACACCTGACCAGTAGGAGTTCCAAAAGGCACAAAGCACAAGGAGAAAATTATTAAAGAAATAATACAGTAAACATTCCTAGAATTAAAGGTCACTACTCTTGAGATTGAAATGGCCTATCAAGTTCCCAACACAGACATTGTAAAATTTCAGAATTTCAGAATAGAGAATCCTGTAGCTTTCAGAAAAAGAAAAAATAAGTTTCATATAATGGAGCAGGAATCAAAATGGCATCAGATTTCTCAACAATAACATTGGATGCTAAAACCAGTGGGAAAATGCCTTAAAAGTTCTAACAGAAAATCATTTTTATCTAGAATTCTATACTTGGCCAAATCATCAAATATAAAACTATTATATAAATATTTTCATTAATTCCAAGACAAAAAATATGCCTCCCATATCTTTCTTAGTAACCTTCAGCAGAGCAAGGAGTGAAACAAGAAAAAAGAAGACAGGTTACTGGAAATGGGACCCAACACGGAAGAGAAACAGAAATCCCAAATCAACAGGTCTGTACCAGGCCTAGAGAATAACCAGCCCAGACGGAGCAGGAGGGAAAAAAGCGGTGGGAAGGAGATTTCCAGAACATAAAAAATTAAATGGATGGATTATAAGAAGTGTTAGAGCATTTATAAAAACATTAACAGGTGTCTGACAGCAGATGGATCTTTTAGACAAAAAAGAAATAGAAACAATTAGAGAGGAAGGAAGCCAAGCAAATGAAGACATGAGTAAATTATTAACTCCAGATGTATGCAGGCAAGGGCAGCATTCTTCCACTTACCAGTGAACAAAAGCTACATGGTTATTAAAATGTAAAAGGTGATTACTGGTTTACCCAAAATTGTGAATCTACTACAATGAAAGAAGAAGAAAAATAGGAGGAGAGGGAATAGAAAGAGAGCTTAAGGCAAAGCACCCATAAGAGGCAGTCAATAAATAATATGCAAAATTGATAAATCAAGAAAATAAGCATGTTATTTACAAATATGGAAATGTATAGCAAAAGAGTCATCTATCAGAACTGGCTGCCTCTGGAGCTAGATTAGAGGCTGGAGAGGGATGAGGCAGGACATTGCTGATAAGCATTTTAGGTCACCTAAGTACTACATGATTTTAAAAATATTCAAGTACTATTTAGATTTTTTAAAAATTAGTTCTAAAAAGAGGAAAAGGCAAGTAAGTAGCTGCTTGGTCATCTAACATCATTACCGATGAACAGTAGGAAGAGATGTTATCCAGGGAAAAGGAAGGGGCCATCTGAAGAGTTTTACTGAAACAGACAAGAAGGCAGAGAATCAGAGTGTCAGATGGTCCCGGAACCTTTTAAGAGAATTGAATTGGGGGAAAGTTCCTCACCTTTATGATACATACACTTTAATTCTTCATCACATTGGAATTTTATTCAATTAACACTAATCACAAAGCACAATGATGTGGACCCTGTGCTCAAATACTTAGGATCCAGTAGAGAGACAAGAGGTAGGAGTATGCTGGAAGTTATGTAAAGTTATATGCTGATAAAAGGATATAAGGAAAATCACCTGTTCTTGTGAATACACTAGAGGAATAACCGGAAGACATAAACCACTCAGCTTCCAAAGGCACAAAGTGGGACATTTCAAGGAGGGAAGTACATCTCAGTTCAGATCCTTTCTGCCTCAATGCAATATATTTCCCCAAACAGGTCTACACAAAGCTAGGGTGTCTGATCTCAGAAACCCAATTCCTTAGCTTCACTGCTACTGTATTCAGGGTTTACAAAACACAGATTCTTTTAGGTTTTGGCCAGAAATAAACTGCTATAGGGGGACAGTGGATTACTAAGTTCAACAGAAAGAAAACAGGAAAAAGCAGAAACTAGTGATCATATCATTATTTACAAGAGCAAAAGGCTGACTTCTTGTTGGAAATTGGACTTAAGGGAGATTATCTCTGAACATGAAAGGGACTTCGTGATCTCCCAAACTGTACTTTAGAAATAACTCTAACTGCAAATGACTTCTAATAGTCATCACATAAATGTGAGTTTTCAAAGGCCCCATCAAACACCCACATAAACTGGAAAGTGTTAGTGGACAAGAGGTACTAGTGCAACAAAGGGAGGGTTGGAAAGAAATGAAAATGGATGACACTTTCACACAGAATATTAGAGCTGGATGGTGTTTTGAGATCATGTGGGCTAGGCTCTTGAACTTTGATCATGTGCATACCACTGCCACTTTATCTCCCTTACTATTTATTATTTACTATTTTTCTTTAAATTCATGGTTCCTAGAAATCAAGGGCTTGATATGTGCACTAAAACCAGTAAAATAAAAGATGTTTGTCAGCACATCACACTTTGAAAAACACTCATTTACAAACCTTGCATAACTTTGACAGGATGGTGGACTTATTTCAGGAGAAAATCTTCTCTAGATCTGACTGTCCAAACTAGGGGAATTATGAAGTTCCCCTAAATTTATCATCAAAGTGTTTCAAAGTCCTTTCTTTTTAAAGCATAGTTTTTCTGCAGCTAGGAATATTAACCAAAAATAAAGTCCTTTACCTTTAAAGTGTTTACACTCTAAATGGTAGAAAAAGAATTTTAAACTTTCATCTGTTTACTAAGAAGGTATTTCAAAATTGAGTTAATCCTGAGAAAGCTGACACAGTTATAGGAGTGGTAACAGATCCTATTCTTGGGAAGTGGCAGAGTATACTGAAAAGAGCAAGAAATTCTCTCGGGGGTGAAATGCTGCACAATTATTTATATTTTTCGTGGCTGTTTAAGTTTTCTAGAGTAAACATTCATTACTTTCATAATCAAAAGGACATATACTTTTTAAATCTAAATTTTGGAGTCATTCCAACCCAGATTTATATGCTGAATGCTATTCAAAGCTGTTTGTGATCTCAAGCAACTTAACCCGAGATTTGACTTTTGAATTGAAAAAATAAGAGATAATGAAATCCCCACAGAGATGTGAGGATCGTATGAAAAGCTCCCATCACGGTGACTGGTACCCAGTAGTAACAAATGGTAATTCTCCCTCCCTCCCTGTATGACACATGAATTTTTCTAATAAATGGTATGAGGCCCTTGCAATGATCCCTACTCAAGTTAAATCCGTAAGACCCTTGTTACCTTGACAGAGGCTGGTCCCTTCCAGTTCAAGTACTGCTCTAGTTCTGTGCCCTTAGCCCGGGCCCTGGAGGAGTCAAACACTTTCCTCTTGGAACTCTGCATCCTGCTGCAGATGCTGGAGTGTCTCTCCAGCCTGAGCAAGAGAAACTTGCGTCCACAGTGGCTGCACTGGCCAAGTTCTGGCTCATCAGTGGAATGGCCGGAATCTGAGGAGTCTGGGGCCCTAGACAAACCAGAATTGTTGGTAGATCTCTGCAAAGCACTGCCTTGTGCCTCTGAAGGCTGAGAAAACTTCTCTTTCAATGGCCCTGAGACATGGTCTCGGATTTTATTATTGCTTGCTATAAGTCTTTCCCTTTTAAGCTTCTGAATTCCATGACTAGAGAACTGGAATGGACTCAAATTTTTGTGAGACTGTCCCCAGGTTTCATCTTCTGCCCTGTCTCTACTAAAGACCTTCTCAGACCTGGATTCCAGGGAGCAGACGGGTTTGTACATGGGGTTGCTATGACCTTTAAGTCTCCTTCTGGGGAGTATCATTCTCTGTAGCTCTCTTTTTTCATTTTCCTCAGTCTGTTCTTTTTCCTTCTGGATCCTTCTCAGTTCCTCCTCTGTCTTCTTCAGCTTTGCCTTCAAAAGGGTCTCTTTTCTTCGGATCTCCTCCCCTAAGCTCTCCCCTGCAGCTTTTAGTCTTTGGATCTGCATCCACTCAGTGCTGCTGGGCTGCACCACAGCCCTCTCTTCCTGTGGGGCAGCATCAGTACTAACCACAGATGAATTCACCCAGTTCCTCGAACCAAAGCTGCTGTATGAAAACTCTCTTGGCTGAGGAGATCTTGGAGAGACATTCTGGTCCACATCAGTGCCAGCCTCGCCTGGACTGTGAGGCTTCCTATGGAACACGGGTTTCAATGGGTATGCCCGGTCCACTCCAACTTGCTTTTTTGTAAAGGGGATGAACTCCTGATTACTGGCTTTGGGATACCGGAATTGAGGGCCTGATGAGTAAAACAAACCCTTTGCTTGGCCCTGGGGATTGCTTCTTGAATCTTGCTGGCTAATTCCAGCACAGCAGGGATAGGAGTAGCTCCGGGCTTTTGTGTTCCATTTGGGGTGAGTGTAGAGGTTATCCAGCATCAGCTCTTTGTTGGTTAAAAGCTTCTGCTGGAAATTTTTTCTCAGGTGCCCCATTGGGGTCCGCTGGGAAGAATCACCCTTTTCGTAAGGGTCTTGATTAGCTGAGCAGAGCCCTGAAGCTTCCGTTTTATTGTATGGCAAGATAACGCCCACAGGCAGAGTTGGCGCCAGCTGGAGACCAGCCATTCAAGGGCTTGGATTGAAGCCTAGGGGAGATTTAAACCAGATACATGTGAGGAGTTTGAATTTCACCCAAGCTGCTAAAGCAAACTTTCTACATTTGTCCAGTGGTGCTTTTTAGGGACAGTGGTCTGCCATAGCTTTAATTCAGTAAGCATTTGGTGAATGCTTACTATGTCCTGTGAGTGCTTATTAGGTCCTAAGGATAGAAAAATGAGTATGATACTACTTAGCTTTCCGTGTATACCAGTACCAGCCTCTCCATACACAGTGATGCTCCTATTGGATTGAAAGTCAGGTTTTAGGCCTGCGACACAGGACAGGCAACTTCCCTTTATGGCTCCAGTTTCTTCACTCACAAAATGAGGGATTCTCCCAGAGTTACGACTGGAATTTAGGGACCTTAAGACTCCAAGTCCAGCCTCATCATTTTACAGGTGAGCAACTGGCCTAGAAATAAATGAGTGGCTTAAAGAGCTCTCCGGGCTTCCCTCCTGAGAGAGGCCGCTCAAGCCCTACAGCAGGTGCCTGGCTGTAAAACCCTCACCTAACGAGCTCCCCCGGAGCCGACCGCAGCTGGTCTGTAATCTGGAAGGCACTGACCACCTGCCCTGCCGCCCGGGGTTTTAGATCCGACACGCGGAAGTCACCTTCTGTTCTGGAGGGGCAGCCAGGGCGCCCCCACTGGGGACTCAGCTTTGGGGACAAGCCCTTGCTCTTCTGTCCATCGGGCCCCTGGGAGGTCAACGTTATAACCCCACGTCTCCCCGCCCTTCCGCGTACCTGAGGCTCTCGCTGACCGCTCCAGTTCAGGGGAAACCCCAGGACTTAGTTTTCCTGACCAAACGCCCCCGCCCCACAACTGACTGCCGCGCAGGCGCTCTCAGGGGGCCTCTGTTATTCCCGTTGCCTAGTGACGGGAGCGCGTGCGCGCGCAGCCCAGCCTCTAGCCGCGCCGGAAGCGCGCGCATCGCAATGCTCACGCGATCGCGCGTTGCCTGGGTCGGTTTAGTGTTAGCCTGACCGGGTGTCCGTCCAACTGTGTAGCTCCGTCTAGCCTTGCGCTTGCAGAACGGCGGAAGTCAAGAGAGGCCTTTCTGGGGCCTCGTCAAAGAATTTATATTATTCCCAGAACGATGCTCCTAGACCCTTGCCGGAGACCAAAGGGCCCTCACCCACAAAATGGCATACTCCCCGCTTCTCTTCCGGGTCCTCTGCTCCCACCGGCGCCAACCAAGGCCCAATCACCCCTCTACACCTTCCCGCCGGTGCCACCTAAGGTCCAATTGTCTTTTGACCCACCTCTTCCTTGCTGACCTGTATAAATTAAGCCTGCAAACTATAAACTGTGCCAGCTTGATCACACACCCTGTCTTGCTGGTCGTTCTTTGTGTCCCTTGCTTGTTTCATTTCTGCAGGCGTCTCCGGCTACACCCCACGTTCGTCCCGCGGGCCGGGACAACTGGCGGCCAACGTGGGGCACCCCGGGACTCCTGCTGAAACGTCTGCTTGAAGCCCTGGCCAGGCATTCATTTGAGTCATCGCACAGGTACTCACCTGATGTCGACTCTGCATTGAGGATCACTGCGGCTCACCCGTCCGTAATACAGATCCTCGGAGAGGTGAGTAGACGAATCCCCCAAGCAAGCATCTTAAATACCTCTTGTGAGTTCTCACTGATCCCCTCCCTCTAGTTTGCTGCCGCGATTTATTCCTTGTTTTGTCCTCTGGTTGTTCCTCTCTGAAAACCTTGTGCTTACTTTGGGCTAACGGTCGTTCACCTCAAAGGCATACCCAGGGGACTCTGACTACAGAGTCCCTGCCCTAGAGGGTCCAAGCAGGCGGATTATACCTGCCGGCCGCCCTATGTAAGCAAGGGCTCGTCTGAGCTGATGAGAGTAGCTCCAGTAGTTAAGTACATTGGCGTAGTCGTGGCTGCATTAGTATAATTCCAACTTACATAGAGCAGAAATCCCAGCCATCTTAATGGGCAACTCACTGAACTCCCACGAGGTATTTCTTAGCGGACTCAAGGAGTCCCTCAGGACACGAGGTGTAAGGGTTAAAAGAAAAGATCTTAGATAATTTTTTTCCTTTATTCATGAGACCTGCCCCTGGTTTCCCCTCGAAGGCACTCGATCATAAACGTTGGAAGAGAGTTGGTGATGCCCTCCAAGACTTTTATCAGACCTTTGGCCCTGAAAAGGTTCCTGTTTCAGCATTTTCTTACTGGAACCTTATTCACGACATCCTTGAGGTCCATTCTCAAGATCCTGACATTAAAGATATAATTAAAACAGGAGAAATAGCCCTTATGGAAAACTCCCGACCGCCCTCTGCCTGTCCTTCAGTAGCCCAAGCCATAGATCCCCTCAGACCCCAGTGGCCTTGCATCTGTATCATTCATTATATGGATGATATCCTCCTGGCTGGAGCATCCAACTCTGAAGTCTTAAAATGTAGCCAAGAATTGACCACCCGTCTCACCTTTTTCGGTCTCCAAATTGCTCCAAACAAAATTCAATTAACAGATCCCTATTACTACCTTGGCTTTGAATTAACTTCAAACAAAATCACTACCCAGAAGATCCAATTAAAAACATCACACTTACAAACACTGAATGATTTCCAAAAGTTCTTGGGAGACATTAATTGGCTCAGACCCTATCTTAAATTAACCACTGGAGAGTTAAAACCTCTTTTTGATATACTACAAGGAGACCCCAATCCCTCATCCCCTCGGAAACTGTCCACCGAGGCAAAAGAAACTTTAAACATTGTTGAAACAGCTATACAACAACAACAAATTATGTTCCTATCCTATGACAGACCCTTTGCTCTCATCATCTGTAATACGCCACATACCACTACTGGAGTTTTATGGCAAAATAATCCTTTGTTATGGATCCATTTGCCCTCCTCCCCACCTAAAGTTCTTATCACATACCCCTCACTAGTTGCAAAGATCGTAAAGATAGGCAGAGAAAAAAGCCGCCAGCATTTTGGCAGAGACCCTGATCAGCTCATCATTCCTTATACAAAAGAACAAACAGATTGGCTGTCCCAGAATGTAGATGACTGGATTATATCCCTTGCTTCTTTCCAAGGTAAAACCGATAATCACTATCCCTCACATAAACTCCTTCAATTCTCATGACTACATCCCTTTATTTTCCCAAAAATAACCTCATCCACTCCTTTAGAAAATGCCTCTCTAGTTTTTTCTGATGGCTCCTCCTCTGGTATTGCTGCCTATGCTATAAACTCACAGAGTTACAGTATTCATTCACCCTTTAAATCAGCCCAACTTGTAGAATTATTTGCTATCTTACAAGTTTTTTAAAGTGTTGAGCCAAATCCCTTTTAATCTGTATACCGACAGTGCCTACATAGCATATTCAGTTCCTATTCTAGAAACAGTCCCTTATATTAAACCTTCTACCAATGCTGTTTCCCTCTTCCAACAACTCCAAACCTTTATATTACTCAGACAAGCCCCTTTCTATATTGGACATCTGCAAGCCCACACCGACCTTCCTAGTTCCCTCTCCCAAGGCAATGCCCTCGCAGACAAAAATACCCACTTCACATATTCCATTACAACCGATGCAGTCACCAAAGCTAGTCAATACCATGCTCTTCACCATGTGAATGCTCACACTCTTCGACTTTTATTTAAACTCACCAGAGAACAAGCTAGGCAAATTGTTAAAGACTGCCTGGGGTGTGTAACCTTACTGCCCCTCCCTCATTTAGGAGTTAATCCGAGAAGCCTACTCCCTAATGAAATCTGGCAAATGGATGTCACCCATATCCCTGAGTTTGGAACTCTTAAATATACTCACGTGACTATTGATACCTACAGTGGTTTTATATTTGCCACCCTCCACAGTGGCGAAACCACCAAAAATGTCATAGCCCATGTTCTCCAATGCATTACTGTTATTGGTAAACCTCAAACTACTAAAACAGATAATGGGCCTGGATACACTTAACAAGCATTTCAAAATTTCTGCCATCAATTCCAAATCAAGCATATCACGGGTATTCCTTACAACCCCCAAGGACAAGGAATAATCGAACAAACCCATCAGACACTAAAGAATACAATTAATAAGCTTAAAACCAACACTATAAAAAGCTCTCCAAAAAACCTCCTTAATTATGCACTATTCATGCTCAACTTTTTACAATTAGACAACTACAACAAGTCTGCCACCGACAGGTTGTGGCACCAAGAAACGAAAAACCAATTTGCAGAAGTCTTATGGAAAGATCCTCTAACCTTTAAATGGCATGGTCCTGACCCAGTTCTTATCTGGGGTAGAGGCCATGCCTGTGTATATGATACACAGGGAAATGGACCTCGATGGTTACCTGAGCGCCTTGTCAAACCCATTAATAATAACCCAATACATTCCAGGGAGGAGAATCCTCCCTGAGAACAGTTTTTCCTTGCCTTTCAGGAAGAAGATAAATATTCATCATCATTGGACAAGGTAAGCCCACCTAACCTTTGTTAGCACAGTTGTAGGCCCACTACCAGTGATCTCGACTATTTTCATTGAACCCTAAAAAGTCATCATGTCTACTATCCATTCCCTTATCGCTACTGTAATAGTCACTGTTGTCCTAGGAGGAATAGGACCCCCTGTAAATAAGAAGTCCTCACCAAGTTGTATGGAAGCCCTTGTGATTGTAAGGGAGGAATAATGGACTTAGAACCCAGTCTGGGAGGACATAAATAACATCTCAAGGGACAAAATACTTAGCTGGACCTCAATTTATTACCGGAAGACCCGTAGACTGCCAAGACAAAATAGCATACCTCACAGCAGATATCTCTGCAGGTGGATTTTCATCCGGAGTAGGTTGGAAGCCCCAGTCTTGGAAATGTGTAAGAAAGCCCAAAATTATACCTACAATTAATGGCAAACCAGGGCCTTGTCCCAACCCCTGCCAAAAGGCCACTGAATTACACTCTACCTGTTACCGCACTGTCCCAACAGTGCACCGGTGCTGATGGCAAAAAATATCTAACAGCTATCTTACAAAATAGTTATACTGGTTCCTTTGGAGGCGAGTATGATTATAGCAACCCCCGAGGACATTCTAAATATGCACAGGCCTCTTGCCATGGCCAAGTTGGCAAAGAGATT